AATGCAGCCGAAGCTCGATAAGCATTCATCAATTTTATACTTTACAAATAGTATATTTTAATATCAAGCCTAATTCATTCACCTAGGTCTTTGAATTCAAGAAACAGGTTGAAGGGAAGAGGAATTTCAGACCAAATGGAAATAGTCAAACTATCATCTCCAAAAAGACAAAATCAAAAATAACAACAATAACAAAAAAAAAAAAAATCATCGTCGTCCAAAGAAAGTCAAATATCAAAGGGAAGGCAGGGAGACAATAAAAAGACGAGGTCATCCACACCATGCAAGATTTTCTAGTGACAGATGTAAAATCACCAAGATATCATCGCACAAGCTTGCTTGCTAAATGCCAAGTAAATTAGGGAATGAAATGAAGGGCACGTTGGATAAAATGATTGATGATCAAGGATGTGACCTGTTTGTCCAAGGTAAGTAATTATCATGGACTCCCTTTTGGCATACTTAGAATTAAAAATAATTAAAGTAGTTTATTTAAATTCAAGTGATTATAACAAATAATATCTCTTTTTAAATCATTAATACTGCCACAATTAAAATCATAATCATCATTATTGCAATTTAATACTCACGACAATGTAATTCACGGATGTCAAAAAACCTACCTATGTACAATTAACTGAAAAATGGAGTGGAGTAAACCAAAGACCTGTAAACAGACTTGTTAATAGTTGTTCAATTTGCATCGAGAAAAAAAAAGAACTGGCAGCTAAAATAATTATTTCTGAAAGTTTTATAATCTGTTGTGCTTGAATTTGAAATCTGTTTCAATTTGAAATTAACGCGCGTAAAATTCAATATTAGCCAATCAAATTTTGTATCTAAATCGCCTACCCAAATTTAATATTAATTATAAAAATTGATTTTTATTTTATTGCCTCATTGCAATTGTTCATTTTTTGATCAAACAATTAGGATTCCATTGCAGTTCATCTCCACCTACAAACCGTCGCCAACCTCGTCAACCACAAATCTCCCTCCGTCAACAAGCAAATTAACAACAAAGCAGCAGATGAAGTACTCTGTTTTTTTTTCGCTAATTATATGTAAAGGTTATCGTATCTAGAGGAATAGAATAACGATCACAAAAAGTAGAACAGAA